TTAGCCGGAACAGTTCCTTCCAGATATGTTCGAATAGAGAGGTCAGTGCTTTGCAGAGGACCTCACCTCCATACTTAAATAATGCAGGTGGGAGGGAATCCGGGCCAGCCGCACGAAAACGAATGAAGGCTGTGATCGCGTTTCGAAATTCGGCCTGCGACGGAGGCTATACACTAACCGTCCATGGCTCGTCCTGTATCACATGAGTGGGAAGAGGTCCGGGAGCAGGGGGCCAAATGTACAGAACTTGAAAGTGTCCCGCTGGCCAGCTACAGGACGCCAGGTGGCACCTCGGCGCCTACGGCGTCTAAAAGCAGTGCTACTAAGAAACACCTGATGCTCCGTATACATCTGCAGCAGACGCTCACCGTTGTCAGTCCGTTCGGAGTTAAGCCCATAATTACCACTCAGCTGAGCTTCTGAAGAACTCGGACGCTATACTTGTGCGTTCATATCACCTGCAAGTACGATAATATCCGAACTATAGCACTGCGTAGTGACACGTTCAGTTCGTGATGGAATGTGTTCTTGACAGCATCAGAACTGCAGTCGGTGGGAACATAAGTGGAAATCACAAACAAACAGCGTTTTATACTACTTCGTGTTGATGTCGTCAAACGGGCTGCACATAAACAGCTGTTCGCCGGAATCCAATCTCCCAACGATAGCTCAGCCTTGGAGCTTAGAATGATACCTACACCAGCTTGACCCGTGAGTGCTGTATCGGCGTCTCCGGATGCGTGCAACCAATAACGAGATGATAAGCCGGGTGCAGTTAATTCAACAACCTCATTAGGGTCATTAATCCTAGTTTCGGACACACAACACATATCAATACCCAGTGTGTCCAAGGTGCGTGCGAGTGCAGCCAGTTTAGCTATTTGTCGTAGAGTGCGAAAGTTGAACGCCGTCAGGGAAACGGGACAGGGTGGCCTTATAAAGGACTATTGCCGATAGGCGACCGGTGGTATTGTGGGAAGGTGGCTGCAGATGGTTCCACTCCAGTGGCACTTCGGTTGCTGTCAGTTAGGATGGAAATTATAGAAGGAAGGTTAGTAATGGGGGGTGGAATGGGATTAGGAGGTGGAAAAGAAAGGAGGCATAAGCAGTAGCCTGTTTTCGCTCATCTGCCCTGCTTTATGCAGCAGATAAGGCGACCCTTGATAATTTGCGCCACGGCCGATGCAGGATGAAGTTTATGTTTGAAGAAAAAGTCATGGTTGTATGTGGGTTGAGACACTGCCAGATCTAGACAGGAGGACGATTAGAGTCCTCAATCAAAGACTTTGGCTAAAAAGTCGGTCCGCAAGGCAGCGGTGAGTTGGCAATGATTTAGTTTTACAGAAATGGAAGTAATGTCATTGCAAACCCCCAACCTGGAGGACCAGGGAACTGAGTTTGTCTAACTTTTCACTAGTGACCAACCTGATAGCAGCAGCCCTCAAGGGGCCCGGAGGTACCACCCAGTATAGCTCGATAGGTCAGAGGTACACAAACTGTCGCACCACGTTAAGATCCAGTCTCGTTGCGACGGTAAGTGTGTACCAGTCTCCTGCACAGTGAGGACCGAATGTATAACAGCACGCCGCGTCAATCATTCGATAGTCTGTCGCATCGGAAGCACGAGTAGCCAATGGCCTGAACTTCCTGGGTAGTGACTTCAGGACGTAAGCAGGTTTCGGCAAGTCCTAGTACGGCCGGACAATGAAGTGATATACATCATCACATTTGTTCATTAAACTACGAACATTTGTGAAACCTACGCGCAGGCCGCGGTAGAAATAGACGGACGTGCACGAAGTGTCATCGACCAGTTGATGTGAGTCCGTGGACCCGGGGAAGTGTTCGAAAAATTACAATGTGGAGATTAGTTTCTCCACCGTCAGTCCGCCGCTTCAACTCCACGATAGCGAACTTCTCTCTCTGTCCGACTGATCCAAATCGAAAGGATGGATCTTTAGACCTTTCAGCCTACCGAGGCGGGATAGTATCAGTCTCGGACTCGTTGTCTCAACAAAGTTGACTCGCAGAAGCTGGGATTTCCCCTCTTCCCTCTTTCCAATACGGGTGATTTGCTTCACCCGCAACCCTTGTTCATTCACGTCGAGAAGCCTATCAATCAGGCTCTGCAGAAAAGCTACGTCGTGGTCATAACGAGCCTGAGGACTAGCATCCATCGACTCAGGCGTGTGAAATATCACAAGGTTACAACGCTCTGATTGTTGACAGTTGTCCTCTCCTTTTTGCTTCGCTGCACTCTCCATTGGTTTTCATCACCTGCGCTATAGTACAACGGTACGTTAGTATCCGCAGGACACAACACAGGCACGCCAGCTGGAGCTCCAGCAACGTGTGGACATCGCTCGGGAGAGCCTGCAGCCGGAGGGCAGGAGGGCTCGTTCGAACACAGAGGTGGCTGGGTTTCCGCTTGCTTGAATGAATTCCGGAGCTTCTCCTATGGAACGTTTGATCCGTCTCGTAGGCTTGCGCGGCTTCTCGGCTGTTTGTGACTGCACAGTGGTCTGGCATTTCGTGCACAATATTTGAACAAAGTCATGCTGGATTTTATGCAGTAGTCTAAAATGATCTAAAGACAAAGCAATACACGTGCTGTGCAAATTCACACGACACATAACGCAAATAACAGCATTGGCTCTATGCCCAACTATTTTGCAACAAGTGTCACACGGAGTAACAGAGGTAATTGATTGCGGAGGTTCCAGGAGCGATTGAAACCAGCTCCATTGATATATTGATAATAAAAGGTATGGGACCTCACCACCAGTATATCACTCATTTCCCTAGCAAGAATGTAAGCGGCTCATTTGCGGCAGTATTATGATGGCCGATAATACGTAGGCCTAGGAAAATAGTGAAGGGTTGAAAAAGCGCAATTATTTCAGAGACAATTATGTTATAAGAGAAGAATCGGTGAGCAAATAACAAAGTAAACTATCCAGAAAAGGCACCTTACTGATGCGTTCCATCTGCAGCTAACGACGTTTTTCTAGGGGCCAGAGTTTTGCCACTCGATAATATGCATTAGGTTCCCAAACCGTTCGGATAGGATTGGGTGCTAACGACCAATAAGCCAGGGCAAACAATTTAACTTGTAGGTCCTTTGACTCCAGATTTGTGACGTAGCACCGAAAGAAGTTGGATGGCATTTGACTGGCTACCTGAGTAGCTCCAGAAAGCTAACTGGTTCAACCAAGTTGTATTGAGCGGAAGAAAAGCTCCAAATATAACGGACAATGCTTAGCTCAATGAGCAGACTAGTTAGTTACAATACAAACCATAGAGTTACCATCATCAGCTGGGTGACAAATTGATGTGCCGTCAACACCTAGGCACCAGTTAGATCTTCCCAGTACAATGGCGCTCCCCGGGCAGTGTTAACCATAGGGTGAAGGTAATCCAGGTTGCTAACCATCCGACGTAGAGCGTAGTTAGTGTTTTAAAGGGTCGTATGACCCGACAAGTGCAATGTAGCAAGAGAAGAAAACATATTGTCCCCGTTAGACCTCATCTTAGTAAAGAATGAAAAACTACCAGTTCTGGTAGAATAAAAAAGCGTTCAATCGGTAGTAAGAAAAGCGGTTCGAGTGCTAATTTGGAAATTCCAAGTGTAAATTAAATGTATGTGACCCCTAGAACAAGACATGTTCCTTTGCTTGTAAGCGTAACGCTCGTATGGCAAACCCACATGTCAGATGAATTGAAACAACTTATTTACCTCAGGTGTTTGCTACGAAAATATAAGGACGTGCGGTTCCACAAAGACCATAAAGGACAAGAAAAACCACTTCGTCTGAAAGAAGCTCCATAATTGTCACTTAAAGGAAAAATAATGAGTCATTAACGACACAATAGTGAAGAATACATTCGCCCAAAAAGGTGCTCTTGGAGCCTAATGAGGACGTTCTGCGTATCTAATCAGTCCTGCTTTTGAAAACTTGTGGCCAAGTTGATACGGAGCGCAGTCAATCGCAGTGAAAGTGATACCTGCATCCAAGCAGCAGCCAAGCGCAGTGTGTGGGACGAATACAGCCAAGCGCCTGGGAATGGAAAAGCGTTGCGGCGTGGCCGAGAGATCCAAACTGACAGTCCCTGAGTCAGTCACTTTTGAGGTGCGGAAGCAGTCAAATATCAGTTTTACCGTGGGATCGCGCTAGCCAAACGGCCAGTTACTTGATTACTAATGCATTCGAGCGCGGAGAATAAATAAGCAACGAAAAACCTCCAGGTTAGGCAAACTGTATAAGAGAAATGCGGAGCAATTTGATGCGCTCAACAGCCTAGTCAAACCGAGTTGTAGCAATGTTTTAAGTGTAGACATCGAAGCCGATTGGGGACGGTGATGCGGTTATCAGGCTCAATGGTTCTGCGTTTTAAGCAAAGGAGTCGATTTCGTATGTGAAACTATGGAAGCGCTTATGCAGTCTGGAGAATAACGACGTGTACAGCAATGTACAGATCTGTGGGTGGAGTGACTATGATTGACAACGCCGAACCACCTTAGTTTCCCGTGGAATTATATGATGGCAAGAGACGTACACAAGACGAGTCAAAACAACGTGCAGGCGGAACTAAGTTGCGTTATGTTGGATGGGAAGCGACAGAACAGAAAATGCGTGGCTAGCAGACAGCCGATAGACGGTGGGGCGTCAGAATGATGGATAATTAAACAAACAACCTACGGCAAAACGCATCGGTTGGATTTCAGAGAATTGTTGGCCTAATGGGTAGAAACAGAAGAGTACCATAGTGGACCAATAACCAGTGACGCTCAATAAAACCGCAACAACTGAGGGAAACCATCATCATCACTACATGTTAGCTAGAGGTGAGAGAGAACTCAAGAACAGGAAATGTCACTGACGTCAGGTTACAGAAGGGCTATTGATGAATAAAGCCAGTCGCAAACTGTCACACGACATGCATTAAAAGTTGCAATCGGTCATCTATTTGAAGACGGGGTACGGATTGAAGAGACATACCTCTCAGGGTCAAATTTCCAAGCAAACAGATCGTCATTGCTCTGACGAACGCGAGATTGTGCTTCTTTAACGGAAGCATTCAGTTTTTCATAAACTAAGTTGCTAACAGGCTCCAGAAAGTGCCTCAGTGCGAGTGGATTTTCGGAAGTGAAGGACTGACCGGAACTGGGACAGGTGACAGTGTGCCGGGAAGGGGTTCGCTTTACAGACTGTAATGGAGGTCATTCAATCACAAGGGAACTCACTAGCATAGTTTCACAGCAGGACAAAAGGAAATCGGCATTGATATAACGTGTTATGAGGTGTTCCTGTTGCCTAGCGTGGTCTTCAACTAGACATTGCAACTGTTGAAACAGTTCCGACTTCTCCGTTTCCAATGCATCCAACGTCTTTTGAAGGCTGTCGGCTAATAGAGGCTCACACCTATGAACGCAATGTTTGGGTGAGAAAAAGCGTCACTTTTGGTGGTATTCGACATCCAAGTCTTCTCGCTCACTGCTACTCACCACACTGGTGACATCCATCGTCCACAGGACGACGTCTAAAAAATGGAGGTGGTGGGCTTTTCAGGTCAAATGCAACAAGCTACACTTGTCCCGATAATGAGAAAGCAATGAGGACTCGGTTGAAACTGTACAAAGTAAATTAGCATTGCCACGACGCAAGGGTGGCAAAAAATGTGAAGCGTTCCACATTTTGCGACTCGGTGGCTTACAGGTAGATATTTCGGTTGATAGCCCAACGGTCCCAAATGAGACCAAACAATGGTCAATGGTAGTTAATAATAGTCAATGTCCGCGAATTAAACGGCTAATCTCTTCAACCACGTTAAGATTGATTATTTGCTACTCGGTGGTTTAAGTTTAGAGGTTCTGACCGATATCCCAAAGACATCGATAAGATCAAACAAGTAAAGAATTAGTCGTGATGTGTTGTGTTTAGCACACGACCCAGGGCGTCATGTCGAGTTTCTTCAAATAGTACTCAGTAACGTGAGTAGCATTAGGAACAAGGTATACGGGGTGAATCCACCTGTAGGCAAATATCGTACCGACACATCTGCTTGCAATGAAAGGTGGTCATCCCCGGATAGCATGGTTGGGGAAGCACGTTTACCTGGCTACGCACTGTTCAGATGCAATCGCTTCGTTGGTCGTTAAAGCGTGGGCGTTGTATGTGGGATGTAAATTGGATGTTTGGGAAACTGCGTTATTTAAACTGTTGAAACTCTAGTGGCGTGTGTGCACCTCCTCTGCTAAGTATACAGTTGTAATGGTACATCTAAGTACTTCCTATGATATAGAGTTTATTCCTACTCAACCTGCCTGTTTCCGAAACAGGGGACTTGAAGCTTCTTGAAGCACGCCGGGATGACCACTCTCGCATTACAGCGGCGGGCAGTTATGGTCCAGATCTACACGAGTAAGGTTGCAAGTGCTGTTGCATCCAGTCGCGGATCTACTCACTAGGTACACAAGCACCCAGCCGCCGTCTACCCTGCACCTAGCTTATGCGAAATCACTCGATTTCGTAAGTAAGCTTACATACGGCTCGTCTTTAGGCGCCAGTGATCACGTCTGCATATCCTGCCGGCGTGCTATTGCTAGGTGTCATCAGGATACCGCTGAGGTATGCCCAAATAAATATTTAACGGGAGGACTTTATCGCAATGCGACCCGAAACTTTAGTTTTGCATCGTGAGGTCTTTGTGCCCGACACTGTTCAATCAGTCTGGGAGAAGTGTCTGCTTCATAGACGGGCGTAGTCTTCAGAGATAGATTTTTCGCATTAATACTCACTAAAGAAGCAGTCTGGGAGCTGGCAAACTTACCATCGGCCAGTGACTCCGACAGATATCGAGAGGTAAGCAATAAATATAAGCAACATCTCATCATCATAACACATTAGCTGAAGGTGAGGAATACAATTCAACTATTGTGCTGCAACATAAAAAGATAACACAAGAAAAACGAGATACAATACAAGATACAAAAGCCAGTACGTAATACACTGTTTAGATCGTGATCGGAGAGGGAAGATTATCGGGATGGGAAGGGTCAAAGAAACAACACAAACGCCATTGAGTTCAGCTTTCTGTCATCACAACTGGTATATCAAACCAAATGTGTTCATCGTCCTTCAGGCCCCAACCCGGTAGTTGGCAGACACCAACAAACGACAAGTTCGAAGTGAGAATCTTCATTTCTTTTGACCAATTCACCGCTTGGCCTCACCTCTTCTTCCATCCACACCCTCGGCGCTCAAACAATGCACGTCGCAGGAGTCGGTGTGATGGCATGCACAACTCGTGGCTCAGTCATCGGCGCCTGTTGCGCGAACTAATGGAGCTGAGCGGTTCATGTTTTTTTTCTGCACCAAATACACAGCTCCGAACACGCTTATTGTTCATGCCGTGCTCGCCCCAGACATGAGCTAAGCTGCGAAGACAGCAACGATCAAACGTGACTAGCCTATTTATATCGACTTGCTGGTCCAGGTTTCGCAACCATACATGAGGGTTGAACGGACGGCTGCATTGTAAGCCCTGCTCTTCAGGGCGAGAGTGATGTCGCGCCGAGGTCAAGGTGACGGAGATTGATAAAAGCGCTATACGGTTCGTGATCTCATTCTCTATTCCAATGGCGTTGATAAAGCCGTCTACATACTTGCAGTGTTCGACGACTTCTAGCTGATCGTCCCCAAGGAACAGTGCAGGGGTGGGATCCTGCAAATCTTGGGGGACTGCACTTCGAGAGATCAAAGCATATCGCGAAATGACTGATAGTCAATGCTAATGTTTCCAGTGCAGCTTGGCACCTAAGAGTAGCTCCATACCTTGTAGGTAAGGCCCAGTGTATGCAGCTTTCGTTGTGTCCTATGCTGAGGCTGATGTTGCATTCATGATGCTTTTTCACCGCAGTTGGGCTAAACCAACTTACACTTAAACTAGGTCTTTTTAAGCCGGATAAATTTCATCCCACTTCATTTGATTCGTTCTGCCTACCGGAATAATCTTCTATTAACTGACCACGTTACTTACGCTATTTGTGGTTATCTTCGTTAACTTTATTGCGTTTGTAGCATTTTTGAGTAACATCCGGACATTTTGTACTCATCGTGGATTCGTTGCTAAGCAACTTACTTCATGTGCTACTTTAGGGTAGAGTTATGCCTGCATAGCCGTATTCTTTAACAGATATATTTTATTTGATAATGTCATTTCAAGTGATTGGCTGTTGTTTGACATCCCCGGTGCGGCTGCGCTTGATGTGCATGTTGACAAGGTGCCTACCTGTCTATTACCCACTACCTCGTGCATACTGGCTCCAGGTGACAGTTTTTTGTTGATGGAGGGGACGGCGTGCACGGTCCTTGTGGCCGTGTTAGGATCAAAGAGGGGTTCCATGCACTCAGTGTGGAGCGGACTACGGTCCAGCCACTGCCTTGTGTGCGCTTGATTCCCCAAATACAGCGTGCTTGTGGTTGCCTGTGAAGCAGTGTAAGCCGGCTCCGTTGATGGAACGTGGATCCCATCTACATGCCTCCCGGTCTTCTTCCTTCGGGTTTACACTGGATATGGGGTGTGTGGATGGAGCTGTGGGTGGTGCAGCGCAAACCACCCATGGTTCCTCTGTAGGTGCAGGCGCCCTGTGGCTAGTCACAGTGACAGGCAAATCCGAAACCGGATGCCGCCAACCATGCAGCTTCCGTGAATCCGTTGATAAAGAACGGAAAGGTGACAACGGACATGCTTGTCTCGTACTGCTAGAGATATTGAAGGGCTGCGACGGGTTGAAATAAACCCTCACGCAGCTCAAAGTGCGCGCATAAAGCGCTCTGATAATGTTTGCTTATTTCTCGGACGCATCTTTTATGAGTAGATAAGCTGAAAGGACACATCAGGTAACCGAATCAGAGACACCTTTGATGTTGAAGAACACGACTAAAATGGATCCCCAATAAATATGGCGGTGCTCCAACGATTATCGTAAAGATGATCAACACAGCCAAGACTTTGACGAAACCCGGCTTGCTCCTCACGAAGCTGGCTTTCGCGGATGGCAGCAAGTCTATGAAGAACGACAGAAGCAAGTAACTTAGAAGCAATTGAGATTGAAACGACCTGGAGATTTCCCGTATGATGTGTAAAATATTCCCAAATTACAGTTCCAGCTTGCCCCAGAAAAGTAGGCAGCTTGTCAGTAGCATGTTTATCCCTCATGTTTGTATAAGTAGGTTCAAAAAGCGACCCGAACGCTGATTCCTTACGCTCCAAGGACAATGTTTTTTCCCTCTTCCTAGTTAGCGTTTCTTTGGGTGTCCGTTAGTCTAGCGGGTTTGCACGTTTCGGAAATAAATGTGTATCTCGTCTAATTTTATGTCTTCTTACTTTCTCCATACGGTTAGCTGGCTGTGCGAATATAGCGCCCATCCATCAGTAGGGCTATAAGTGGCGACTCAATTAAAATTGGCAACTCTGACTGCCAATACTCGCTGTAAGTCCGTTACTAACCATTCATTTCCAGATTTGGCCCTTCAATTCATTTATTGTTGCTATTTCTTTTTTACGGAGGAGGTTATTTTTGCTCGCTGTAAATCTTTCGCTATGTACGCTAAACTTTTAAACGCCTCTATTAGTGTCGTTACCGTATTAATGCAAACTTTTCGCGAAAGTAACCAGAGTTGTTTGGCTCAACTTGAGTCCAGCTTTTTGTTGTGTGTTAAATCTGATGCTGTTAAAGTTTTCCACGTCATCACAACACTTCCTCCGTAAGCAATCGATGATCTTGGTAATATTTTAGATCTTCCCGGATCTTAGACTTAAGAGGAGACCAGGGCTGCCGTGTTTAAGCGAATTGGTAGGTCACCGCGTTTGCGTCACAAAATGGCTTAACGAAACCGAGCTAGATGATTTGAAACCATCTCAGCTCCTGAGCAAAAGCAGAATCTCACCAAACCCGCTAGTGTTGACGAATCCCATTTCAAAGAGATGTGGTTTTGCCGCCTCCCATGCGAGACGTTCAGTGCAGTTCAGTTGATCAACTATGATCCGAGCATCGAGGTGCTGGGGATCCAGTTGCCACGACTCCCACCATGAGAATAACAATAAATAACACCGGAACCATAATGAGGATGGGTACAAATAGAATGTAGAGAAAATGAAAGTAAGTAGGAAATGCGTTAGACAAATCAGGATGAAACGAAAATTAACAGCCAGATGAAAGAAATCGAATGCAGGAACGCCACCGACTTTATGACTGCGCCGTGTCAGATACGGTACCCTACCATTAGTGTAGACCACCCGAGGCCCTATCCCCGAAAATGGCATGCACCAGCCTGACCAAGTCTCTTGATCAATTTCTTCAAGCTTCTATGTCATGTCATGGACTGGCCACCTCAAGGTTTCGCCCAAGTTGGTGCAACCACGGCGTAAAATGCACGCCGAGGAAGCCGATCATCATTAACATCATCATCAGTACACGTTAGCTGAGGATGAGAAACACGCCTCGGCTAATGTTCGGCGATAAAAAGATGAGATACT